AAAAAGCTATTAAGAACAGACAAATAACATCAGTTCAGTTCAGAACTGGCAGTGTTCTGCTTTCTACTAATATAAAAACTGTCAAAAATTGCCTTTCTTTTCAGGAGTTTTGGGAAAAGTTCAAAACAGAGGATATATAAATAGAACATCTTTCTCACCTGAAGCCATGAAGGGACATTGCTGCGATATCCTGTGGCTAGTAGGATTGCATCAATATCGAGCGTTTCGCCATTGACGAGCTCAACTTGGTGCTTGTTAAAGCTCTTGATCCCTGGTACAACCTTTATGTCTCCGGATCTAATCTTCTCCAATGTTCCAATGTCCAAAACAGGGGTCTTCCCCTGGGTTTTTCAGCTCCAATGGGCCCGTCGATGGCCGTTTTAGCCCGTATTTCTCAACGTCCCCGAGAACCAACCATGCAAGAATCAGTAGGAGCTTGTCGACGAGCCAGAGAGGTAGCCACTTCAACATCATAACGGCCAGTTCGAACGTTGATTTTCCGAATATCTCTCTGGGTAATACATGAACCTGTATGACAAAAGCAGAGCAAACCCTGTCATTTCTTGTTATTTCAGTGAAACAAGACAGATGCACTCACTTAAGAACTGTACAGGTATTTGATACTTACAGAGCTACGAACAACCATCGAAGGTGACGCATTGTGGTTACAGAGGTCGAGAGAGAGCTCCATGCCGGAATTGCCACACCCCACAACGAGAACTTTCTTTCCCCTGAAACTTTCCCCTGACTTGTAATCACACACATGAATGATTTCACCTTTGAATTCACCCAACCCTTCGATATCAGGCATGACACACTCGGCATTCTCGCCGGTGGCCACCACGAGCCACCGGCAAATATACTCGACCTCAGTTCGAGTAGACCCGACCGTGGAAACGGTCTTGACCCGCCAGAAGCCGCAGGTCTCGTCGTACCTAGCGGATTGAACGCACTCGTTGAATCGTGGGTTGATCTGAAAACGCTTAGCATATGATTCGAGGTAGTCGATGAATTGTCTCTTTGTGGGGTACTCTGGGAAGTCCTCTGGGAATGGAACTTTGGGGAGCTGACAGAACTGCTTAGGAAGGTGAAGCTTGAGTCTGTCGTAGGTTCGCTTCTGCCAGAGAGAGGCTATGCAATCAGCTCGCTCAAGAACCATGAAAGGGACGCCTTGTTCTCTGAGACAAGCCGCCGTGGCTAGGCCGGAGGGGCCTGCTCCGACGATCACAGGGCCGTTCACCCAAATGCAGCGCCGAGAGAACAAGTCTTCATGATCGACTAGGCGAAACAAGTTCTCCATCATTCAGCTCTAATATTGGGTTTGTGGGTAAGCGAAGGATCCCAGAAAGATTGTGTTTTTGATCGTTAGAGAGGGAGGGAGAGAAGTTAGGATTTGAAGTAGAGGATTGGAAGCGGAAGGAATGAAGAGAAAGTGAATGTGGGAGAAGGCTTAAATAGAGGCATTTAGGGATGGCTGAGAGGTGCATGTGGTGTGAGTGCCGAGTTTATGCGCTCCTTTTCTCTCATATTCCTCAAATCATTATTGAAGTCTTTAGTAGCCATTTTATTTCCCCCTTGTATATATATTTTTTAATGAAGAATTATTTCTTTTCAGTACATTTTTGTATCTTTTGTTTCATTATTTTAATAGATTCTTCTGCTTTTAACTTATTTTTAAAATTGCTCCACGATTAGCATCCAATTTGGTTTCATTGTATATTAGCTTTTATCGAGAAACTCAAGTATGATTAACAAATATAAAAAAGAGAAGAAATATCATGCGCAGTTCATTTAATTTAGAATGCAATCAAAATTCCCAATATTTATGGTAGTAGAAGGCTTATTTAATTTATTAGCTCTCTTTTTTTTTTTTTTGGTTCTCTTGCACAAAACAGTAAAGTTAGCACGAAACAAGTTAAAAGTTAGGTGGGGGTTGAGAGTCGTAGGGGGTAGAAATTTGATGCACACACCACCCAACGCAGATATGCGAACTAATAAGTAATAATAATGAATAATGATTGGAAATATATTCTTGTTATATATAAATAATAAAGAGTTGCAAATTAAAATAGCGGATTCGATGTATTCTTTTTTTTTTTTAATGAATATTAGAGGAAGGAAAAACGACCCCCGTGGGCAAATTACAATATAGATTCCCTTTTAGGCCAAGGATCCAATTATGAGCTGTAATATCAGAATTTTTTTTTTTACTACAAATTACAACCTCCCATTTGTAAAGGGATTTTTTATATCATTTTATTATAAGAGCAGCATTGGGGTTGTAATTTGGTTGAATTTACGTGAAGAGATTTGGGAAGAACAATGGATTGGAATGTATGGGATACAGACGTGACGTGGGGGTGAGATTCTGTAGGGTCCAGGTGGTGAGCTGACGTGGCGGGTGCTGACTAGGATTAGCCAAGATGAGACCACGTGGAGTGGGGGACCCACGTTGGCAGTATTGAGGACCTTCGGAGTTCGGACCCGCAACTGCCTGCCCCCTGCCCGGTGCCCATTGCGCCAGCCGGACTTCCACACTACGGTTTTGAGGAATTGGATTTTTTTTAGTGTCTTCAATCAATTTGTCAGTTAGAGAATTAATATGTTTATGTTATTTTTATATTTTAACTCATTTATAACAAACTTAATTTCTTCTTAATTCCTTAAGCACACTGCACATCAAATTTAATTAAGTTTCTACATTAAAGAATATGAATCCAAATTAAAGAAGTTTCATCTAAATAGCAGTATCAGTTCATCACACAAATGTATATATATATATCCATCACGTTACAACAGTAAGATCTGGTTGATTAATTTAAGGGGTGTAATATATACACACGTCCTACACTATCCTTAATGTATAAGTTGTTAATTTGCTAGCTCTCTTTAATTATTGCTCCAAAACCTTAAATGGCAATCAAAAGGAATTTGAGGGAGTATAATATTTTTTTTAAGAAGCGAAAAAGAATCTTACCAAAAAAGATCGAGTTAAGAGCCCCCTTTTAGATATATAATAAGAAAAAGGCAAGAACTCTGAATCATTAAAATATTTAATAATGGCTATAGTATGAGGTTCCTCATCATTAACAAATAAATATTATCAAAAATAATGATTATTATTATATCATTCTTGATCAATAAAAAGCTGAAAGCACACACATCGAACTATGTATATAATCTAACCTTTGGTCCTTAATATAAGAATTAGTTAACTAATTTCAGTAGATTTAAAAAATTAGTTAAACTAGTTATTTGTATTAAACATGTATTATCTTTCTTAAAATATATTTTTTAATCAAGTATATTAGCTAAAACTATTCTTACTATTATGACTGCTTTGACAAAAAAAATAGATAAATATGAAAAAAAATATATTAGGGTCTTATATTTAGAACTAATATAAAAATTAAATCATGGAGCTAGTACTCTCCATGTTTCTTTAGCCAGGACCATTAACTTTTGCACACATGGAAAACCATCGGAACAAGTATGTCTCTTTCAACGGGTAGTAAACAAATGTTGGTTAATACACCGAATCCAACGTGGTATGCCAATGATATAAAGTTGGAGTAAAAGTCATCATGGGATCTTGATTAATAATAATTAAGCTTTTTCTTGCCGAATTCAATAATAAGAATGATAAATAATGAAAGAAGCACCTAACTAAACTAGCTACAGGCCTTAAACTATCAATGTCAAGTCCAGTTAAAGGAGATATACATGCAAGTACAATAATCTTCTTCAAAAGCTAGCTTTTCTTTTCTTTTTTGGTTCTGGGAAATGATATGGCGTGCCCCACTTTGACAAGTGGTTAAAATTTCATGGGAATAAGATCAGAGGGAAGCATGTGCACGAGGCCTCGGAACTCCATAGGAGTCTCTTCTTTTCACGAAAATCTTTTAAGCTACAACCTTGGCCTCACATATTATTTATATAATTGCTTTGGGGAGATCGAATGAGAATGAATTAGTATGCTTCGAAAAGAGAGTGGAAAAAGGAAACTAAACTCCAAATGCTAGAATCCAAAGAGATAGGCATGAAATGAGAGCCATATCGATGTGATATGATCAATAAGGATATGTGTTTGTATTTTCTTATCACTAAGCTTTGCCATACCAGCCTTGCAGTGCTCCACAGCCAGCTTGGGATGGATAGCCTCATTCATTAACTTCACCTTTTCCCTTTTAGGACGTGGTGATCCATTCGATCACTTCAAATATAATACTTTTCGCCCCTCTCTCTCTATTCTTTTTCTCTTTTTTGGTATAACTCATAGTATATATTTTCAGGTTATTTTGGGTTTGAAACTAATCTTTTTTTAGTTGGGAGAATTAAGATTAAAGTCCTCCCAATAAGTACATTTCCTAAAATTCGAACTTGTATTATCCTCCATATAGGATGGAATCGTTACCAACTCAACTCACAGTTTGTCGGTTTTTTGTTCTCTTCTTTACTTCTTAGTATATATACATACATATATATATAGTTTATACAGCAATACTATAATATAGTCACAAACACCTTCAATCAATCATCATATAGCTAGGGTTTTCTTCAAAAGTTAAATTCCAAGAGCTTTCTGTAGCCGGCGCTGATTTGCTGTACCTATCTAAATAAAAACACCCAATTGATAGAAAACAGAAGAGAACTGCTTATGTGTGTGTGTGTGTTTGTGTGTACGATCATATATAACACACACACACACATACATATATATAAAGTAAGTTATAGCGTAATGAGTGAGAGAGTCATGCGTAAAAGGAAAAAAGTAGGAGAAAAAGGGGGAAATGATTGGGATATTAAGGAGTGGGCTTCTTCGAATATATATGAAGCTCTGTGTGGCTTCACTTAATATTGCTGGAATTATTTCAGTTGCCAGCTTTCTACTATTAGCTAGTAGCAGAAAGCCAACCCCATTGCATATAGGATTATATACACACACACACACACACACACATATTATGGTTGTTGTTGGGTTCCACGTTTTTATAGTTTATTATTATATTTCTATCGATAAATATATATATATGCACTGTTTGGTTGCTCGGAAAATTCGTATTATTAGGTGAACGTGGAATCCAAAACGATCACAGGTTATATAGCCTTTGTCTTTTGGGAAAATGTACAGAGCTATATATATGGGAGAGGATGTTCTTTTGGTTTTGATTTGGAGGATATATTTTATGCGTAATGGAACAACTTGCATATATAATTCTTATTTAACTTAAATTGTGAATTCTCAAACAATAATATTAAGAGAATTAGATCAATACTAACGTAACCACCATGCATGAAATATCCTGATAATTAACAAAAACAAAGAAAAGCGAAACAATATAATGATAATGACAGCAAGTAATTAATTAAGGTGCGTAATTAATAAAAAACAACTGATAAGCTGCTCACGTCAAGCTAAATCTTAATTAAGCAGCAGTTATCAATAAAAAGTAATAATCCCAGCAGGAGCAACTAATTAATATAATGTTGTCTAAATTTGGCTGGACTTACAGTTACACCAGAACTTTTTTTTTTTTTTAACCTTATTATTTGTGGCTGGAAACTGAAGCATATATCCATCACGTCCATTTCAGTTTTTCACAAATAAGAAAGCGATGAAATAAAATTATTGTTTTTTTAATTCCATATTTCTTCTTGGTCAACTAGCCAAGAAATTAAAATAACTCCTCTCCTTTTATGCGTGTGTCGTCCTTCTTCATGCCTGTACGTGAGCAAAACCATAAATAAATATAATTTTTATTTCATACATTTTTTTTTGACCAGAAATTTTTATTTCATACATAAACTATAAATCTCACCATTAATGTCATTCTTCATGCCCCATGAGAGCAAGTTCACAGTACGTATTTATATCTATAAACCACTAGAGTGGCATAACATGTTAAAATAATTAATTAACCAGGTTTAGGTAGTATATTTCGTGATTAACCAAGGGCCTAGATAGATTATTGCAAGAGGTTTATATATGCCAAAAATTAATAATATGTCTTGAATTGGGAAATATCTTCCAACCACTTGTAATATTTTAATTAAATAATAATATGTCTTGACTTTGGATAAGATCAATTTAATAATGCAATCTTTTATTTAGTTAAAACTAATTCAGCTAATATTTAACTAAATACTCATTAATTTAATATTATTTAATTACATCAAATTGCAGGATTACATTAAATATTTCTGTCCATCAGGAAAATGGATCTAACATAAAACACACACACACACACTTCGGCTTTTCTTTGTGTGTGAGGAGGTATAAAACAACAGGTGCGTGCCCACAACTTATACACTCATTTGTTATTATCATAATATCTGTTATCATTT